GGGAGCATCTGCCTAAATTCATAAACCTTGTCGATTTTTTTTTTTTTTCTTTCTATTTTTCCAGTACTACTTCTGAGGATTTTTTTACTCTATTTAAATACTAAGGGTTATTTTCCCATCCTTAGAAGATTTATTATCCTGTTTTTCATTTTCTGTTCTGAGTATGTGTTTGACACATCTTTAGTTATTAGAATAGAAGCCTGACACTGTAGGAAACAGAAAATGTTTGCCTGCATTATGTTTCACATTATAAATGGTTCTTGTTCTTTACTGTGCAAACAGGCTCCTTGAATAATTTTCCAGTATGCTGTTGAGAACTGCAGTAAACCATTTGCTAGTAAATCAGCATTTCTTACAGCAAACTCTCTATGCTTTGTCAGCCATTACATCTAGGGAATAAAATCTAATAAAAGAAAACAAAACATGGAGCAGTTATGGCTGATCTCTGAAAAATTTACACTGTTTTGAGTATAGGAACCAAACATCTGGGATTTTTTGGGTAGTCTAGTTCTAAAGCTTTGAGATGTACAGCGGAACATGCAAAACATCTGCCTCTTTGCTGCATTTCTGGTATTTGCAGTAAAATATACCAATCAGTTACAGTTTTCCCTTCAGTTCTTGACTTTTGGGGAAGGTTCAGCTCCTAAAAGCAGTGGCCAAGGAAAGTTTCAGCCTTATCTTCAGATTGTGATGGAATTTCAGTATTGTTAACCCTGAGCAGTTTAAAAAATAAAAGAAAAACACCTCTCCTCCTTAATATTGAAGATCATGAGGATTACCTTAAATATTGGAGAGATTTTATTCGCTTTCTGGTCTTGGCCTTTTGGGTGCAATCATCCTGCTTTCCAGCTTGTCTTCACCAATTAATAGATGTAGCAGCTCTTTTTATATTTTTGAGAATTTTTTAACGGCAGCTGAAATATGTTGATTCCAGCAACAATTAATATCAAAAGACTTGCCAACGCTTGTATTTTTGTGACAGTATTGTGATTCTGTGGGGTAAGCTTTTATTGCATTGTTCAAAGCTGCTTATAATTTTGAAAGGGAAGGCTAATGTTGGAAGTAGCAAGCTGTGAAACCCCTAGAAAACCAAAATGGGGAGAGTAAAGGCAGGGTCCATCAGAAGCAGGAAGGATTCTGAAGCATTATCCTAAGAATTTCTTTCTTTGTTTTGTTACAAATGTTTTGGAAGGTCCTATGGATTGAAGCACCATTGGATGCAAAGCACTTAAAATGATGTTGGCTGTTGGCAGCCCGTTTCCACTAGGCCTCCAATGTCTCAGATGCCTGACAAACTAATGTCATATGAACAGCAGTTATTGTTGACACTTCTTAAGGCCAAGATGTAGAACCGCTCACAGATGCTCAGAGCAAGTGGTGCTATCCATAAAAACATGAATTTGGGTGATTTTAAAGTTCTGATCTTTGCTGGCCAACTGACCTTTTTGATTGAGTTGCTTGTCTGAGTTTGAGTTTCTGGATCAGTATAGGAGAGTACAGCCTTGCACGCCTTCAAGTATAATTGTTCTCAGCCTTGCTGGAGGCTACCAGTGCCTTGATCTCAGGTCTCAGTTTTTCAGCACCACTTCCCTTGCCTCCTCTTCTTTCACAGTATATACTTTACAGAAAAATTAGAGGTTTTAAATGGTGAGAAAGGACACTTTTTGATTCGTAGGAGTTTGTTATAATAAAATATCCAAGCTTCTACGCAGATCCTTGAGTTGTTTGCTTGCTGGTTCAGCTTTCAAGGCTGGAATAGGATAGTGGAAGGACAGAAATGCATGGTATCTACAAGTACAATTATGCTGAAGGTCTTTGCTTTCCATCTTCATCCCACAGTTCTCATTTAATTCTTATCTTCTGCATAGAAATAATTTTTCTTTTTGATTAAATTAAAGGAAAAACTGAGCTTATAAAATTTGGCTGTTACACTTTTTTGAATGCTACTTGGAACAGAGGCTTTTACTGTAGTGTGAATTAGAATTTTCTCATGCTTTTTATCATCAAATGAGCTTGATAAGTTTGGTACCTGGTTTGATATCGTATTCTTAACCGTGACAGCAGAAGGTCAAATCTGAGCATTTTGTCCCAGTATTAGGTTCTTAAAGTCTGTTATCATCACGGCATGGCAACCTGACCCTGCCTGTGGTGTTGATTGTTCATCGAGGACTGCTGCGAGGTTTATGTTCCCTGCCAGGTAGCTCATGCGTATACTGAACCTTATCACAAGTAAAGAATCTCACTTGCAATCTGAATGGCTTGGGCACAGACGGTATTGAGGCCACAAATTCAGCTCTTACTACAAAGTACTGAGTACTGAGCTCAGTGTGCAGCCAGGCTTCTGGTGAGCATTGTGGACAGAAAGCACTCAAGTTGGAGGGATTACTATGTGCACGTGTTGCTGTGCTGCATCGACTCTGAACACCAGAAGATTGTGCCAGCTGCTTGATACTGAAACTTTATCTTTTTGCTTAAAGGCTTTGTGATAAGGTGTGGTTTTCTTTGGATGCTCAGTGTCTCTTGACACAGAGATATGTGCCTGATCTGTGAAAAGCTGGAGCTAGATGTCTAGATTTGAGAACTACTGAAATGTGAGGAATGTGCAAGATATTATAGACCAAACTAAAGTTTAGAAATAAATTCTACTGCAATCTATTATTCAAGCAAAAACCTAAACAAATAATGGCAAGATGGAGTTCATTAGTTCATGAAATAGAGCTAGGAATGTTGACAAATATATTTGCGATGTCCCGGTATGATTGCTCCATTTCTCTATTTGCAGGGCTTCTATATTGCAGCCTCACCTAATCCAAAGCACAGCATGACTCCTTTGTAGGACCAGTCCCTTCTACCATCTCTCTCTCTTCTTAAATCCCTTCAATCAGCTTTCAATAAAATAGAAAATAAGTTTTATTACTTATTGAAAGTTTTTTAATGGAGGCCTGGCTTATCTTCCCTACCTTCTGTCACTGGCAAACTTGGATCAACAACTGCCAGATATTTGTCCAGAAATATACATTGAAGCATTGTGGAATTTATGCTCTCGGTAACTTTACTCTACAACCTTAACAATCCTAGGAGAAGCTTCAAAAAACCCAAACCACCCAAACAAGTAGTGGAAACAATCCCAACACCACAAGTTTAAAAGTTATACAATCACCATGGCAACTCAAAAATACTAAATGTGTGTGCCTTGTGTTGTTTTTAATTTTTTATTAGCTAGGTAAATCTAAGGTGATAATTTTGTTTTATTTCAGTTGCAGAATTTGACAATATTAATCTGCAGTGTAATACTCACTGTGTGATATTTCTGTGGTTGTGTTGTGGATTTTTCAGATCACTGCACAGTGTTAAGCTGGTATATGGAAGTCATTTGAAACGCTCAAAATGAAATACCTCAAGGATCAGGTACTATGTATGTGCTAATAGGACCCTGCGCCAGGGTCATCAGCCCAGAACCCTGCTACAAATACGGCATCCCTGTGTCACAGTCCATCTAGGCCAACCTCCACTCTTTCACTAGTGATTTCCCTGCACCTTTTGCTAAGCAATTGAATTGTTGACACTTCAGGTTCCTTACAGGTTTCCACCTACAACCAGGTACCTACTTTGAGAGTCCTCTGAATGCCAGCCTGCGCATGTTTTCACTTTCCTGATAACTTTCCCTTTCATGTCACAGATGAAGTTGCACAAGTTGCAGTCTCTCCAAACCGCTGTCTGCAACACAGACTCAAGAGTTTCCTGTCTGATGCTACCTGCACTGTTCTCTTCAGCCAAAGATGAAATAATGTTTGTCTTGTTAAAGCTAGTTGTCCTGCAACATCTATAGCTTCTTTACAGTGGTTCAGTTCCCTCGCACTTCTTGTAGGGCCTATTTTTCCATTTGGTATAAACAATTCATTGGTCAAGCATGGTACTTTCTAGCTTCATCTTATTTTCTGTGAACTTCCACATGTTATGGGTTATAAGGTGAGCATTAGGAACAGAATAGCATGAGGTCTGTCCCCTCTCCAGATTAAAAACCAAAAAAAAATCCCTTAATGTGCAAGAAGGTCAAACATGCGCTATGTGAACTTGTTAAACACATTTATTGAGTTCTTGACAGTAACCAAACACAGTGAATAACCATTATAAACAAGAAAAAAAGGCATTCACTTTTACTTGGTCAGCTCTTGCTTTATCTGTAAAGAAAAGATATTCCTTTTCACCACCAATATACAGGATTGAATTTGTTTGTCCCAATAATGGATGCAGCAGGGAAAATGGCAATTTTAAACTGAGATATTTTTCAACAGCTTTCTGCTTCTGAGCCCAGCTCCTAATAATGATGGACCATAAAGTGGAATTAAAGTTATACTTGCTTTAAGTGCATTCCCAATTGCCATTAACTCACTTAAATTGGCTGCAAACAAATAAATGAAGTAAAAAAAACCAAACCAAACAAAACCCCAAAAGCAAACCCCACAAGTAATGCAGCCACAAGTAGAGGCTTATTATTTCAGAAAGGAAAAAATAAATCAAAGCAAGTTTACTAAATTAATTTGTTAAACACGTTTATTGAGTTGTTAATAGTAACCAACACAACGTATGACCTGTTGTAAAACAAGAAACAGAAAATGGATCAATTCTGATTTTGGCAAATCCTACTACAGATATGTGACAGAGGGAAATATTTCAATTTCCTTTATATTCTGCAGTGATATATTTACAATACTTATCTCTCAAGGTCTGTCCCTTTTTTAATTAAATGAACAGAAAGATCATAACCTAGAAATAAGTTTCCTCTACAGTCGTCTTGTTCTGTCTTGTCAGTATCCATTAATGATAGTGAAATAATGAGAGCTTTCCAAGGATTACTTGGCACACAGAACACAACTCCACTTTGATGCTGTACCGAGCCACCTTTTTTCTTTCCTTTTTTTTTTTTTTTTTTAAATTTGAGGGAGGGAGGGAAAAGAAGAAGAATTTCATATGTACAAAGGCTGAAAAGTCTTTCTTTCTGAAACTGAATTAGTTCAGGAAAACTGTATCAAAATTGTAATCACATTTACTGCAATACTGTCTTTTTACTTTTTTTTAATTACCACCAATCATATGAATGAATTTTTAGTTGAGTTTCCCACATGGCGGCTCTTTTCCTACAGCACGTTTGCACATGCTGTCGCGAACCCAAAGAGAATGAGGTTGGGTGCTTTCTAGATTATGTCAATTCACAGTAGTAGCATTCCACTGACGTTATGGGTTCTGCCTGCTCCATCTTACTTGAGGAGCCATTCATTTACTGAAAGAGAAACAAAACAAAACCAGTTATGCTTTAATAAACTCAAAATATGAAACTGACTGGATTTAACACTGTATTAGAAGCTTAAACAAAATGTCTTTGAAAAAGCCAGGAGGTTCAGTTTCCTCCTCTTTCTGGAAAAGAATTGAGTCTCAATGACTGTTTCGTTGAAGTATTGCAACTCAGCCATCAGCCTTGTTGCTGAAAATGTACTTTCTTTTCTACCCTTCAGTAGTACTCCTTCATAAGCATAATATTATTGGTAAGAAGGTGCTTTTACACCATTACTGCAGGTAATATAACTGTGTGTGCTTAGGCTAAAAGATGCATAAGACATTACAGCTCAGTTGTGAGCCCCCAGCTGTAGCAGCATAAGACCCTACCAGCAGGTGACTGGGTTGGTTCATTTGTTTAATATCCACTGCATAATACAACTTCCCAATTTGGGTGTTTGTTATAGTGGTGCACCTACAAAGTGAGGAGGTGCAAGTGTCTTTTGTTTGAGGTCAGCTGTCATCAAGACCAGCTCATCCCCCTTTTTCTTTCCAAGGTGGGTAAAACAGAGCAAAATGCACTTTGTAAGGTGAGAAGACTTTAAAATGAGGCTAGAAAACTGAAGGCTTGTCCTATCTACTTTAAAAAAAAGGTATTAGATGTCCCAGACTGTGTTTTGTCATGCTTTTCCTGCATGTTTCTGGGCAAGTTTCCTCATCCATTTCAAATATGTAATGTTTGAATCATACTGATAGTCCCCCAGATCTGGAGTTTAATCTATTTTTATTTGTATGCTTTGTTATGCACTTGGGTTTCTCAAAGAAAAGAGCTCAGTGTAAGCATAGAAAGGATTATTCTGGAGGTAGAACGTACCTCTATATTGTAGTTTCTGTGCTCTATTGTTTGGACAATCTTTTCCCTGTAAACTAAAGTTGATATTAGTTCGGATACATCGATTGTTGAGAGGCTGGACTGGTCTGAAATTGTCGCTCATGCTCAGAAATATCTGTGATGGCTGATTCTGGCTTAGCAGTCGTAAAGAATGCATCTATACAAAATACAAAACAAGGATTTTTAGTACTAGTCTTTCCTGTAAGTAAATAACATACAACACTGTTAAATAGACTACTTAATAAAAGAAAGTAAAACAGTATTTCAGTAATTTGTAGTCAGAGATGGATTGAAAGAGTTAACTTGAGTTAAAACCGTTCCTTCTGTGGTCCTCTGTTTCTGAGCCCCATTTTAAACGAAAGTAACTAGTTTTGTGTGGAGTAAATGAAAATGGTATGAGGTGTCCTTGGCTGATCAGGAAACAAATGGAATCCACAGTACTGGATGGCAGCAGCTGGTGCAGAGAAAATGAACCTGATGAATAACAAGAGCTAATTTCCTAAGTTTTGTAGCTATTAGTGTAGCTTCCAGTTGAGAAGACACAGTTTTAAATGATGGTACTCAAGAACCCCATATGGCCAGTTGGATGGAAAGGATAACTGACTGTCATGCTGCTGAAGTCATGAAATTAATGATGTTAAAAAGTGAAATCCCTTCTCCATTGACAGGTCTGTCTTGATAGTGTCTGTGCTGTGTCTATAGTGTTCTTATGGTAGATTCTGAACTTCTTTTGAGATGGTTTTACAGATTAGCAGAGAGGGAGTTAGTGAATCATCCAGGGTTTTCAGTGCGCCCAGCAGTGGTTGAATGCAAACTACAAGCAGACAGCAATGTTTTTTATGATAACTATACAAATGTGCTAAAAGCATGTTAATTGGTTTAAGTCAACCAAAACCTTTCAAACTTTCTATAGGAAAATGGAGAGAGAGAGAAAAAAAAAAAAAGCTGCAATTTGTAAATCAGAAACCCTCAAAATATTTTGGTTAAAATATAAAAGGAAAATATTTTCCATATTAGTGTACAATTTAAGAGGTTTGGTTGTGGCATTTAATGCTTAAATGGGGAAATCCAGTAGCTGGGTTTTACATACTGAAAATTTTTAACAGTTTCCAGGGAAACCTTGAGTTGTGCATTACTTTTTCAGTCTGAGTACACAATGTAATTAGTAAGTATTCCATGAAATCAATTTGTGGCAGTAATAATGGAGGATGTAACTAACCAGTAAAGCATGACAGGGAGTAAGCATCATGAGATTATAACCCATAGGTACTAGTATAGACTGTAGAAATATTCTAATCCTTGTTTTGTACGTTAATGTTGGAAGTAAAAATGTTGCTTGTAGGAAAACATTCAGGTCCCCTGCTTGAAAAGTTTGGAATGTACAGCATGTTTGCCTGTGCTCAGCTGTGTCATTCTCCCAAATTACCCATTTAGAAAAGAAATAAAGTGCTTTCTCTGCATCTCGACAAAATTGGTCAGAAGGAATATCACAAAGACAAAACATCTCTCAGGCTTTTAAAAACTGTCTTATTTACAATGTTAATACGATTTTAAATCCCAAAATAATATTTAGGGTTATTTTATCATTTGTTGTTTCATTTCTTAGGCCAGATTGCTTCTGCTGCATACTTGGGACAGGCAGATGGTGGTTCAAGTATTCCTTCGGGATTCTAGTACGCAAGAGAATATGTTTTAGTTCAGCTCACAGCTCTGTAGGCAACTCGGTGATGGAGGCTTTGGAGAAGACTGCAATTGGTGTTAAATTTGTTGTTTTCTGATGTTAGGCCTTGGATTGTGAGTTGTACAGAAGTGTAGTCTTTATGACTTTTCCACTAGTGTGTTTCCTCAACAGTATAGTTTATGGATTTAATTGTTTTTTCTCTTGCTTAATTTATCCTGCTTCTTTCTAACAGGAGCTTCAATTTGTCAATCTGATTTTTCTGAAGATATTTGCAATGTCTATCCTGTTGTCTTGTTCTAGACCAGAAAGCACTAGATGATTTTTTTCAAGAAGGCCCCATACATTGGATCTCTGTCACATTACTGTACTATTGGCATGTATTTAAATGGCCACAAGTGTCACTCACAATTTGTCTGGTTTTTTTCTGACCTGAGAATGGCCTCTGTTATACTTAAAAACCTCAGCTATTTTTGTACAACACTGCTGTACTTGTTTTAGAATCTCGATATATCTATTCACAGAATCATAGAATAATTTAGTTTGGAAGAGACTGCTGGAAGCAATTTGGTTCAAACCCTCATTGAAAGTAGCGCCCACCTCAAAGTACTTGTGTGTGTGTATATAGGTACTTGGGGACCTCTAAGTAGTTAATATTCTTATTTTGGCAAAAAACTCTTCAATGTTTTTGCAAACTGTATAAATTGTAGGCAGAGATCCCTACAGCAAAAGGTTGAATCTAATTTTGTATGTAAAGCTATATATATATGTTTACGATATTCTTTTGTACCTATACCAGATCGAGTAATTTTTTAATTGTTTTTACCTGCATTCTTGTTATGTAGACAGGTTTGTTCATTATTATCCAGCTCGCTGTTTCATAGCAGGGTGGAATTGTCATTGACCCATCATACGTAATGAAACTAGATGTCTCTGGATAAAGTTCCTCAATATTAAGCCCCTGTAGTAAGTATGCATCATCTGGAGAGTAAAGAAGGAAAACAATTGAGATAAAGCAATAGCTTCACAAAAAATATTGTACCCTTTTTACATACAAACCTTATTCCAGAACATCATCATTGATTTTACCAAAATGTGAAGTGTAATGAATATACATTTTTGAACGCTGCCACAGTTTGGACAAGAACAAGTAACATGAATTCACTAATCCTGCTTGGGTTGAGTTCTTCTCTTAGATGCCTATGCACACCTTCCGTGAGTTTAGCACAAGCATTCACAGTGAAACTCTGAATCATGTTTAAGAACTGGAGTTAAAAGCTTCTTGAAGTTGCAGTTATTTATTTAGATGTAGCAGTCTTTGGAGAATGTTGACTTACCATATTTTGGAGTGATTAAAAATTTTTGCTCAACAAAGCCTTGGGAAGGCCAAGAGTGTTAAAACTTAATTGCCCTTCTACCACAGGAGGAAGTTAAGGTTAATGCATGATAATAAAGCTGCTCAATGAAGCCTGCTGGCCTTTCATGTGCACAGTGGGGGTGGATGCAGTGCAAGCTCACTCAGAATGCTAAAATTGAGGTGGAAAAGTACGCCAGAAAGCAGCTTACTAGGGTCCCTGCTTTTATCATAAGTCTCCCTGGGAATTAATGAGGTATCCCTCTGCAACAGAATTCATTCTGGATATGTACCAAAATATAATGAGATCTAGTTATAGCTTTCAAAATTCATCAAAGTTCCTCGGCCTTTTCTATACTATGTGCACTATTTCCCTTGTGTAATACTGGCCCTACAATATTTTTGGCAGTGCTGTCAAAACTGGAACTCGGATTTGCCTGCCAAATCTTAGGCTGTAGGAGTTCCTTAATAGGAAATACTCAGGGATATACACACTTCACTACTTATACACTACTGCTATCGTGTATCTCGGAGAAAGCTGGGTTGGTTATGAGCTGTAATGTTGTGAAATCTCTGCGTGCTTTCACTTGCAAGCGGTGTGTTCAATATGGTTCATTTGCAGAGTGAGCAAATGATCAGCTTATTTAAAGCTGATAAACAGTTCCTTGGTCATCAGGAAAAGGTTGTAAATGGAACCAAGGAAGAAAGAAATATGAACAATCAAGGAAGCGCATAAGAACTAAAAAAGGAAAGAGTAATTTAACATGAATTTAACATATCATAGCTGAAGGACAAAACTTAGATGGGCAAAATGCTTGTCTGACACTATCTAATGGGAAAGAAAAGGACCACAGACTACTGTATTGGGCAACAGAAAATTAAAGAACCACAGGCAAAGCAAATGTGACTTTTTTTTTTTATTTTGACGTAGTGCAGTCAACACGCTACAGGCTTCCAGAGTAGCAATATTAGTGGCTACAGCATCAGTTAAAGCGTCAAGGTGAGAATGTAACATTTATACCACATTGAGCAGTGACTTACAGTTATTTCATATTTTAAATGTGCTTGTTATCTTATGAAATATGATCTTGGCATGTCCTTTCAAGTTTGTCAGAAATACAGCCTTCTGCCATGTTTTTGCACTTTGAGCTAGGGTAACTGCCAGGCCATACAACTGGATCCTCAAGTGGAGAGGAAAGTACAATTAGTGTCTTGTAGGTGGCTGACGGTCACCTTTTTTAACCTGCTCAGCCTTCACTGGCCTATGGCCTGGTATAGAGTCTTTCTAAACACAAAATTTTCCAGACAAAAGTGTGAAACCATTGCTGTAGTATTAGAGTCAAAATGCTGTTAAATTTTAACAGCTAGAGATGACTGAATACACCTGTGTCCTATTCATTAAAAACACTATTTGCAGCACAGTGGTAATTTTGCTAGAATTACATGAGAAGAGAATGAATGCATTTTTTCAAGCCAGTGCCTGTTTTCAATGAGTCATCACACGTTTTTCCCTTTCCCACATGAACATCCTGTTCATTATTTATGAACCATGGAGACTGGTGTGTTAGCTCCAAATGGCACAGAGTCAGTCAGAATAGTTTCGAACTCTAAGGACCAAATCTGCTTTCTCACATCCATAATGACTTCGGTTGGGCTAAAATGATTTAAACAAGGTAGAATTTGCCCTGAAATGTTTACTAGGAGATGGAAAGCTACCTAAAGATTAATACAGATGAGAGAGATTGGTGAGATAGATATATATATTGTGTGTGACACATTCTAGTTGACTAATTTGTATTCAGAACAGCGCACAGATTATTAACAATAAGACTACTTATGAAATGGAAGATACAGAAACAGATTTACTGCTGGCATCAGTGCAGGTAATCATGGGGGTTTTGGAGTTGCCTCACACTGCTTTAACAGAGAATGTAATTCATTATTTTGAGATGGGCTTCTAACTTTTGTCTGTGGATTTACAGTGTTTAGTCATTCTCGGAACATAATAATGCTCCAGGGGTGGAATATTGCATGTAACAGTGTGGGAGCAGTGTGGGGCATGGTCCTCCTACTCATTCAGGCAAGCCCATCGTATGCCAGTGTTGTCAAGATCAGGAGACATGCTCTCCTTAGCCTTAATGAGCTTTGGGTCAACTGCTTAGGTCACCATGTTTGCATACTGAGGACCTACAAAATGTGTGGCCATCTCCCCCACCAGCACCTGGCAGTGAAGTGGCTCCAAATCTGGTTCATTCCTTCTGTCTTCACTTAGAATACATTGAATGAGAGACAGTGAGTTCTGCTAAGTGTCAAAATCCATCAGTTGTGATTTATGGGAAACTGGAGGAAGGTATCACTTCAGGAAAAGGGGAAGATAGGGGTGAATGAAATAATGGAATAAAAGAGTTTGGCCAAGTAAAAGCAGTATTTATTCATGCCTGTATATGAGTAAATATTCCCATGGGAAGTCAGATGACTCCATGAGAATGGTCTGAGAAAAGACTACAGAATAAGCGTTTGGTTATCAATGTTTTTCCCATAAACAGATCTGCTGTTTCCCTTTCCCCACCTCTTGGTAAAGGCTTCCCGTTCTGGAATGGAAACAGAACTGGTGGGTTTGCACTAATACTAGACTGCAACACTTTAACGGCTTGTCTTATATTTATTGCAAGTATATAGCTGAAAATGGTCAAAATCACCATGTGTGATCTTTTGCTAATAATAAACTTTCTTTAATAAACCCATTCCTATCTACAGCCCACGTTCTATTTATCTTGATCCACTTCTGCCTCAGGGCGATTTCAGAACTCATGAACTCTTCTCTATACAAATTAGATTTCACTAGATTTCATATTCATTTACATAAAGGCCTTGACTGACAATTTTCTTATCAAATGATGGAAATCCTCTTCTTTTATCCCTGGATTTGCAGTAGGCATGTGGGGTCTGCTTTCACAGCAAATTCTATGTATGTTCTCTTTAAAACAGTAGTATTTATAGAGAATACATTATTTATGGAATGAAGGAAGATCCATTTGATTTTTAAGTTCATATCATGGTGATCCAAAAAAGGGAAGTACAGCTTTAACTAGATTAGATTGACAGGGTAAGGAATGTAGAGATGCTCAGTTTAATCCTGAAACAGAGTTTCTCCATTGACCAGCTTTCCCAAGTCACTTAGACCCAGGCTGGCAGAGACTCATTTTGAATATCTGAGGTTAGTCCCTTGGGGCCTCTTCTGAGACTGCTGGGCTTTTACTGCTTGTGACAGGAGCTCCGAGAGCTCAGTCCTTCAGAGAATGCACCGAAACGCAAACCTTGAGAAATTAATAGTTTCTTATTTTCAGAAATCTGAATCTTAAGCTTTTTCAGGATAATCTCTTAAAATTGCAATACTTTATTCACTTGTACATTATCTATAAAGAGCTAAAGATTGAATTTGAGGAAATTCAGAATATTACAGCTCTTCCAAACATGTGGCAGTATTTTGGTGGCAAATGACAAGCCTGAATTTTCATATGGAATTTTGGGAATCTAAAATGTTACTGCTTTCCAATGTTAAGCAAATACTGGGTGAAAGCTAATGTAGCATAACTGTTCTGAAAGAAAGCTAACTTATCCCTTCAAATGTCATACTTAAAGAGGAATATTAAAGCAGTTTTTCTTTAGAGATATTCACGTAGCTTCTGACTAAAGCCTGTTTGAAAGATGGCTTGTTTTAACTAGTTCACAGTAGATTCTTTGGGCTGCGATAACAGAATAAAATGAGTATTGAAAATCTGCTTAAAAATTCCTTGGGGTCCACTTCAGTTTGCTGTAGCCATTAATATCTCAGAGTAGAAATTCCCCTTTTAATGCATTTTGCCTATGCAAATTTCATGCAGCAGCATAGATACCTCTTAATTTTGTTGCTGTTCTTTAAAAAGAAGTACTTTAGTTATGTTACTGACTGTCCTGACTCTGAACCTGTGCTCCACTTATCACTTGCTCCATGCTCCTATTGAGCACACTGGGACTGGTCATTTTGTCAGCAGCATGCTGAGTATCGACTTCAGGAGTGGATCGCTAAAGCACAAGCTAAAAAACTCCAGCTGCAAAGGCAGAATAGAAATCCTCACAATGTAAGAGGTAAAATTAGTTTTCAGCAATGATGCTATAATCCATCACCAAAGACAACTGCAAAATTACTTTCAATAACACTTTCACATTCCCAATTTACACTAAAAATTCCCAGTCAATACTTGTTACTACAGTAAGTAACCCAATGCCCTGCAGAATATTACGTACCTTGTATCTACCAAGGATTTCATTTTAACATATAAACTTGTTAGTGCTAACAGTGGTTAAAAATTAAAATAGTTCTGTTAATCATTGATTTTGCAGTCTATATTATGTGTTCATCTTCAGGTGAAATTTCATTTAGTAAACCCAAATTAGGTGTGATTGGACTTGCGTTTTTCTTCTAAAGAGGCAAAACAACCAATGAAAGATGGTAGGATACTGTCAACTCCAGAGAGGAAGAGTGCCCACTTATAAGTGTAGTGTAAAAATGAAATATTTTGTATTGGGAGGGTATGCGTGCCTGCTGGTGTGGGCGACAGTTGCATGCTCACTCTGAACAAGGGAAAGATGCTGTCGGTGCCTTCCCACCCTGTGGAGCTGTATAGCCCTAACTGTGCTCCCTCTTCTCTCTCAGCCACCATAAGTCATCCGCTCTTTGCGCTGCTGACCAGTTGTTGTAGTATGTGGGGCCAAGGAGCATCAAAAAGGCTGTGACACTCATGTATGAGATACAACTGCTGTGATGGGAAGAATGGGGCAGCAGTCTTCTCTTAGTGTGTGAGAGCTGACAGGTCTGTGTGTGTGTACGTGGGGCAAAGCAGCTTCCTCAGTGGCACAGTCAGATACTTTCTGCATGATCCCCAGGTGGAAGTCAGGAATATGTAATCTGGGAGTGAAAGAGCCTGAAAAAACACATACAGCCTTAACGATAATTTCCCGTCTCCAGGATGCTGCAGCAGCGCTGGTAGGCAGGAAGCTCTTAGAGAACAGTAGTGCTGTGTTTTTGCAAGGAATCAAGACAGGTGATTTAAAAACCAGGTTAATCTCCTGCTTCTTCCACGCAGAGAAGACATTTCATGCTGATAGAAGAATCTGGAAAAAATGTTCTGAGGGGAACCCTCTATTGTCTTCCTTTCTATAGATATCATGGAGAATACAGTTTTATCATAATAAAGGCCTCTTATTTGGACCAAAGATGTAACAAGATTTGTGAACTCTAAAATTAGAGAAACATCAGTGGGAAGAAAGCTGTGCGTTATAGGGAAGGACTAGGAACTATCTTCTTTAGAATGGGGTTGGATTGGCTCCATTGTTCAAGCTTTGTATTGTATGGCAAGCCTCAAAATCTTTCCGGTGCTCTCTTGTTCAGAAATTAGTGGGTAAAATTCTGTGCTTTCACTTTACTTTAGTCTCAAATCTGCACTTTTTCTTTTTACAATCCTGGCTTTGCAGGGAGGGGGAAAAGATGGACTTCACAGAAAGAAATCAGGCTGTGTACTTTAGGGACACACATGGAAATCTCTCCAAACCTGTTCATCATAAACCTGAAGTTCAGTGACTTTTGTTGAAATTAAATGGATGTTTGAGATCTCTGGAGTTTCAGATGCAAAGGTTTGCAAGTAACACTGTGTTGTTGTAGAGTATATAATACAGTTATCCTTAGTTTACAGAGAGGTAAACTGAGGCAAACTCTAGAAGAACTGTGAACCAAATCCCGGAGTCCTGACAACTGTTCCCATTCTAGTTATGAACAACTCTCTCCCAGCTTTCATAAACAAAAACAAAATTAATGAAGTTTATGACAATTGTTAACTCATTGTTTACAGAACAACAAACAAAGGCTGAATTTTACAATACTTTCCTTATTTTTTTTAGTTTGCTGTGTACTTTCTGAAAGTTTAATTCTGGTATTGTTTATTTTATTAACTTAAGAGCTGCTAGGAATTCAAGTAAATATTTGACAAAGTGAATAAGATTTTCAGGAGAAGATGTTTAATTTGTTCCATTGAGATACATTTTTTTCATGACTTTCTCTGAACTAGCCTCATTTTCACTAATATTTAATCTCCAGCTTTCCACAAGTTCAATATACTAACAGGGAATTATTGAGCATTATCAGTTAAAGGCTTTCTAAATGTGAATATGACAAATATATATGCTATGTTGATGACCTCTTTATATATCCATTAAATGTAGCGATAGTTGAATAGAAATGTCATAACTTTTCTGTACAAAAAAAAAGGACTAATGAATACTAAATCCACAGTTAATGATGCAGCATCTTGACTTAACTTGATTTGATATAATCCAGGCTGCTCTGCATGTTACTTTTATTGCTAACAGTAGGCAGTTTCTCCTGAGTATTCTGTGTGAATATAATATATGTATTTGTTAAGTATAATTTCATTAATTTATTGCTTGTTCAAACGTAAAATAGACTTCAAGGTTCAAAATTCATTTGATGAACTGATGACCTTACTAGATTTTTCAGGTTCCCAAGTTTACCATGCAGAGTTGCTGGCAACGCAAACTTTGTAATTTTTGCCCATAATGAAGCGCCTCTTGTTTCACTGGATCACTAAATATGTTATTGGATTCTAAAAGCATACAGCTGTTAGCCATAGTAAATGGAAAGAAACTTACTTTTATATGTTATTCTCGTTATGGTGTCTCTGTTAAGCATACGATTTAGAAATGGATTTGATGATTCGGATACCTACAGAAGAGAAAAAGTACAATGTCAAAATCTTCTCACAAACAATTCCTTTCTGGAAACGTAGCTGTTCTGTGTGTACACGCGCGCACACGTGCACTCATTCTCTCTCTCCTGCAACTCCTCCAAATTTTTTCTGCCTTTTTTTCCACTGTTGTGGGAACAGGAAATAATTACTTAGATATTTTTCTAACAAAACTTGTTAGAAAAATTGGTATCTAAAAATAAATCTAAAAAAACAGGGATGGGGGAACAGGGTGAATAGAAATTAATGCCTGAATACAAGTGTGAGTACAGGAATTTACAGGTGGTTAATATAATTAGGTAGGATTTTCACATAATATTCCATTATTTTTCTATTTATTGAGAAATATACTTTCCTTGCAGAGATTTTATTGCACTGCGAATGGTGAAATTGCTATTGGTTAGCAACAAAAGCAGTGTAACTTTTTTTATGGAGACGTTTTAGTAACCCTCTAGCTGATCTTCTAATATCCTACTTTTCTTTCAGTTATTCTGTTATGTAGTTTTTTTGTTAGACATTGGATGCTGCTGTTATACATCTAGCATTTATCCAGAATGAAATCAATTTATTTTGAAAATGGAAAACTTCAAAAAAATTTTAATTAAGATTTAGGAAAATAAATGGGCTATTGGACAAACTGTAATCAAGCTCTCTTTGACAGGTAACGTTCAGGAAAATTCAGTTCAGGTTCCATTTTGTGGAAATTCAGATAGGTAGTTCTCCACTTAGACGCTTTTCTAACTACATTGGACATCTAAAATAGAATACATCTTTTCATCCCAGTAAGAGAGGCCTAGAGAAAACTAGGGTGAGGCAGATACTGAATTTTGTTGCTCGTTAATAGAACAGTGCAACTCAGCAAGTCAGGATGCATTATTTAGACAAAATTGGTATGCTGGCCATTCTGAAGGCTTGCTTCAATTTTATCCTTTTGCACAAATTCAAGTCAGATCATAGGATCATAATACAATATGTTTTGGATGAAACAAGGTAACCTAAATATCTTAAATACTAGACCTGTATGAAAGGGCAATTTAAGTATCTAATTATTCAATATGCTCTGTGAAATGCATCTTTTAATTCTGAGGTTAATGCTTTGTCAGGAACTTTACTTTATGAAATGGGATTAGAGAGTACTAAAGGGAACTAATAAATATCCAATATGTAAGGTCTGATCATGAAAGCTATTTATTTCAGTATGAAGCACTTATTCAGAAATATATGCTTTTTTTTAGACTGATGAAACAGAGATACATAATGGCAGAATACGACAACATTTTGGGGGAAATGCATTCTTCATATCAAATGAGAGAAAAAGTTTCTCTAGTGTAATTAGAGAGATTTGAGTAAACTGTTGAGTCTTGAGTTCAGTGCTAGATCATTGTAATTTGTAGACCTAACTCTGCATCTTGAATGCAACAGGATGGAGACAAAAATATGACAAAATATTCACGTCTTTCTAGCTCTGTGAAATGGAAGATATTAAGAGTTATACTTTTAATGTTCTTTCAGTTTTGATAGATTAAGATGTTTTAAATCACATTGTGAGGAAAAACATATTTTACTGACTTTGAAACATCAGCATGTCTCCAAAGAGCAAACATGCCCTCTTTCTCCAGGCCTCAACCTACTAGGAGAGATTTACTTTTAATTGAATAAATAGCATTTCTTGAAGAAATACCAAATCTGCAAAATTACTAAGTTTTTTCATAGCTGTTAAAATGTTGAGTGATGTTTATGATGTAAGGATTCTGCGCTCCCCCCCCCCCCCCTTTTCATTTTCGTTATGCTGCATTCTAAATGCTTTGGAGTAGAGATTGTGTGTCCACTTCCTAGGAGGATGCTGTCTCTGGATTCCAGATCAGAGCCTCTAGGCATTGCTGTAGTATAATGAGGAATCTAATTCCTGGATTTACAGCTCGTGGAAAGTCGTCCATTGTCTGTATATTAGGTTTTGATAATACTGAATACTTACTTTCATAAATATGGAAACTACGACCAACCCATTAGGACTCTTTGCAGCTTCTGTGACATTTGTGTACAGCTCATGGTTGTAGTGGATTAGTTGAACCTAGAAAACAGGGAAGGGAAAGATTACAATTAAACAGCAGGAAATCATACCGTACTCTGCAAAGACTCTCTATACACCAATTGGTTTGTATTAGGATCCCATCTATGCTTAGGATAATTTGTAACAGTGCCGTTTTTCAGAGGTTTGCAGCACGTGTGATTTTAATAATTTCAGTCACCATCTGGCTCCAACTGGCACAGTACCAGCATGTTTTCTTCTAAATTGCCAGTAAGTGAATTTACCCACATCAAGTTATGAATTGCACTGCAGGGGTTGACATCATTTCCCTGTTGCAACAGCACTTGCCATGGGCATCAAGTAATCTGTACTTTTCAGCCTCAAGCCAAACACAGGGGAATCAGGAGTTGAAATATTTGAAGAAACATATGGAATACGGGTCTGGAACTGTTTAAACCAGCACCCACAGAATTTAAAATACTAATATTAATTGGCCCTAGATTTTACAAACTCAGTTACAAAAGCTCCTACAGTTAGGCACTCCACTGTACTATTGTTAACCAGACTCTCCTTAGCTCCTACAGCTTTCCTTCTGCTTTTTAGTTTTATGATTTGCTGGAACTTTTAAATTATGAAGGCACAGTTCATCTCTCTCCCTGCATATGTAAATGTCTTAGAGCAATGGTATTTGATTTGTCTGGGATCACTGGATGCTGTTACCAGTTATATTGCAATTTGTAGCCTCACTTTTTTTTTTTTTAAGAGATGAACGTGAGGCAGGTAAGTACTTTTAAGAAGCTGAAAGGCTAGTTAGCTTTATTTAGCCTAAAGATACCTTTCTTAGTTTTCAGATGTCAATTAGAAAAGTAAGGTCATTGTTCTGGCATTTTCAGAATTGCGGCAGCCTGGTATTTGTATTTAAAAATCAGGTGTGTCTGCCATGTGCTGGCATAAATCTAAAGGCTGTCCACCGAAATTTTTGGACTTAAATACTGCGAACAAGATCAGTGTTAACTTGATCTATGTCTGGTATTCTTTTTAACTGTACAAATGACCAAAGATTAATACTACCAGTAAAGAAATTGCATCATAGTGTGCTTTCCCTATTTATGATCGTGAAAAAAAACCCCCACCCCAAAACCCACTGAAATAGGGTTTAGTGCCTGCATTGGTGACTTTGTCTTTTGGATGAATGCAATGTCAGGTGCTTCTGTAGTGAAATGCAATTGCAAGGATTTCTCTGCAAGAATGACCTCCCTATAAGATCTGCAGTGCACAATCAAGTTACGAAGACAAAGCCTTGCTTTGCCATTCAAATGTGTATATCCACCAGCATGTGTACTGGTAGTGATCTGAATTATAGCAGCATCCAAATTTATGTGTAACCTATGCCATTATTATCTCAGTCTATAAGTTGAGAGATAAATGATGCGTCCACACTCTGGGAGTGTTCAGACAGTCGTATTTCCTACACTCTGCCCTGATGGCAAAATATATTCTTATAAGTAAATTACTCAAAACCAGATCTTATGAGCTTTCCTAATATAAAAATCCACCAAGCACTGTCCTCCCACCACCCCGCAAATCCCTTAGCAATGCTGTTTTACTGCTTGGACATCGATGTAAAAAGGGGTAGTAGAAATTCTGAAAGGAAGGAGAATATTTGTATTAGTAAGATTAGAAGATTTTTGGCACGTAGAGTTTACTATTTACGGTTCACAGACCAAAAAAATAAAGCAAGGGTCAAAATTACTGCTATAATGTGTTAATTTCGGTTACTTTTGTCCTGTCTGGATTGGGAACTATTGGTTGACCTTTTTCCAGTTCACACAGTAGGTATTTTTTAAGGCAGGCAAACAAACCAAACTGGAACGAAAAAGTAAAAATGTCAAAGTAGCCAATGAAGTCATCTGCTAAATTCTGACAGCTAGGAAGCAGGATGAATGCAGTACGTTTTCTAAAGGTCTTGTAAAGAATTAATGAGAGCATTTACTCTGCTGCACATAGAGGTTATAGGCTCATTAGTCATCACTTTGCAGTACTACTGAATTTTGATAACATCATGGTTCTGGAGACTGTGCCCTCGCTGAAATTTTTAGGCTTAGTAACATATTTTTCTTTTTATGTACAACTATTCACTCTGGCAGCCAAACTAACTTGTGAATTATCAAGGAAATAAATAATGAAATCTGCTTTAGACTAGAATTCCTTCTGTACAAAGTCCCAGAATAAGAATGAATTAGATAAACTAAGTTAATCTAACAAGCCAAAATGTCTAGGGCAGGAATGGGTAAAAGTAAGGACCAAATTCTCCTTCCACCCATGGAAGCCCTGAGTCAATGTCAAACTCTCATTTTTACTGATGGGACTTATGGAAATAAAACTCCTGAAGTATATATGACCACACATAGGATATTTGTCCCAGACTTGCTGCAAGGAGCCTACTGTCCAGTGCAGTTCTAGTCTTGCATAACACATTATATCGCAATGAGTGACATGAGCCTCAGCACATGATCGTGTCCTGGCTCTGCTGGAGAACTCTCTTGATGTCAGGAAGAGACACCATTCACTCTGTGCAAAACTCACACCCAGAATGCAGGCGGTCTATAGGTATTTGTGGAAACGAGTTAACAGATTTAACTGATTACAAATTAGAATAGTTATTTCCTTTACTGATCTATAAATAATCTCTCCACCCTGCATTGCACTGTCTTTACAATAAAACTACTTGTCTGAGAACTTTGGCATTCTTTACCAGTGCTTTCAAGTGGTTTTCATTCCAGGTTTCCCATTCCTGCAGGTTTGTATGCCTCTGCCCCATTCCACCTCTCTTTATCACATCTCAGCTTGGTAATGAACCATTTTGGAGAGTGTGCTTGAGAAATCTTGCTTCACTATAGTTTGAAAAGATCTCCCTGGCCTTGCTGTGCATTATTGTTTCTCAGAGATCCCAATGCTGAATGAAGACAGACTTTTTTTTCTTCTGAAACATGTCACTTTCTCTGTGTTAGTTGTACCCTTCCTCCCTGCATCCAAATTAATTTTAAAGCTGCTTCCATGGTGTCATGGTTAAATTCATTAGGTTTTTCTTTTTTTTTTTAAAAAAGATTGACCGTGTCGGGAGACATCATTTTCAAAGTTTCTCATATGGAACAGACTAATTTAGACAGGTACAAATGATTAAAGATGTCTTAGATATAGAATATTACATGCAGGACAAAACTATTAAATTCCTATTAAATTCCTTCTTTTGAGAATAATTTCTTTAAAGTTACCTGAAATACCTGTAATCTTACAGTCTGTATTAAATATTACTAGAGTCTTCCATGGAGGTGAAGCCACACATAACTAAAACTGCTCGTATGTGAAAATCTCAGTTTTTCAAATTATGATATTGTATTGAAAACAAAACACAACAAGAGCAAACTTGCAATGCTGAAAGTACCCTTTGATTCTAGTTTGAGTTTCAGGGCTCAAACAATACAGAATCTTGTTATAAGCTATTGATTTTCTTTGGAAGATTCCCCCTTTAAGATTAATTTGCCACAGAACAACGGATAGCTCTTTGTTTTCCTCGAGCTATAGAAGTTCTATTTTTCAGGAACAAGAAGAGAATTAAGATTAATTACTCTCTTTTAGCTGGTGAGAATCCGGAATGTGCCCTTGTTCCATCACCCAAGAATGGGCATTGGACCAGGAGCAGACACAGCCCTTTTTAGACACCTGAGGTTGGTGGTGTTGGGAATGTCAACACAAGCTGACAACTGTACGTTCGGGGTAATCTGCTGAGCATACTCTCCTCAGCCTGGTAGGCTGTGTCTTTGGGGCAGAATAATATAGATAGGCTGATATTATGGCTCATGTTCTGGCTACTGTGAGGAAAACAGATATCTAATTCCCTTTCCCAACACGTGTGCATGTGTGTTTATAATAGTAATAACCTGTTCTTTGCTTGTACCTTGATAAAGTTCAGCTCTGTACTTGTTACTCATCTTGTTTGTACTGTTTTTCCTCCGCAATGCGTTTTGCTGTTTTTCTTGATCCCTCACCCAGGTGAAATGTGCGTCCTTGGGCAGAGCTAGTAGCAGGATATTTCCTATGTGGCATTCGACCAAGGTTCTTTGGCTAAGCAAAAGGAGGTAGTTTGCTGTGTTCATGGTTGTGGGTGCCAAAAATTCCAGGGACTCTTTTCAGCAGTCTTTTAGCAATTTTTTAACTTGGACAAAGACCCTCTGTGAATTGCAGAGCTTTGATCTAGTGTGTATGCATAACCCTTTTAGAAATGTTAGACCATTGTGAGATGTCCTGCTGCAGTGAGACGTGAAGAAATATGAAACTGAGGGAATTTAAAGTATCACGGTACTTTACACACAAACATTTCCATAGTCCTCTTGGGAGTAATGGAATACTCTTTATTCTCACTTGGAAGTGTTATAATTGAGTGCACAAACATTCTGATTTGTAAATGACAAGAGATCTAAACCACGAAGCGAATGGCAGCAGGATAACTATAATACTTGTATTATGTTGTACTACCTGATAAACTGTTGGGATACTTGATTGAGAGCAAGCACAAAGCACGTTTCCAGCACAGCAGGGAACCAAAGCAAATGAAATTGCTCAAAAAGACGAGTTAAATGTTTGTTTTGATTCAGAGTCCTTGTAAAAAGTGGCTAAGATCTCATTAAGGAAAAAATATTATACATTTTGTTTATCCAAAGTTTAATAAAAATAGCAAAAGAAATGTAACTTCTGCACGGCAGGTGTCTAGTAAGGAAAATAATCTGAATGAGTTAAAAGGTATTAATAACAACAGTTGATATTCTAGTTTTAAAATACAGTGGCAGCTGTAAAACCCTTTGGAAAGAGCGGTAATGTCATATCGCCTAAGAGTTATTTTATGGTATTAATTTTATGGATCTGAACAGGTATGAGATCTGAGGTCCTCATTTTGTGAAAGAAATGAGGTTTTTTGTTTTGTTTTGTTTTGTTTTTTTTTAAATGTCCCCTGGTTCTAGGATGTGTAATTTGTGTGGCTGATG